CAGCCGATAGATCGTCGATCGATCGAATATCCCGGTGAAATCTCGCGTCTCGTCGCCTCGGAAAATCGAACGAGAGAAGCGGACCAAGTGAACGGTTAACGAACGGATCGGGACGTTCCGCGCGTTTCTCGATAGTCGTGTCAGTGAAAGTACGCGAGTCACCACCCGGAGGAGTCTCCGCGAGATTCTTTTCGCGGAGTGTCGCGGCGTGCCGGTTCGACCGCATCCGTTGTCCTCGAGAGAGAGATCGCGCGCGGCTATCATGTCGCCTGCCTGAACGTTCGCGATAACGTTCCAGAGCAAACGCGAGTGGTCAACTCGTGAAATCTCCAAGCCGAATTCGCTCTTTTTTTTCTCGCGTCGTTTCGCCTACGATTCGCGGAGGATCGCTACCATCGATCGAGATACCACCTGTCGACGACGATGACCGTGGTAATGTCCGACGAACATCGCGCGCGAGCCATCGTTTCGTCGGCGAATCCCGACGGGACTAATTCGACGCGTAATTTGTTGCAGGTTATGGAGGAAACGAACACCTTCGTTACGTGGCCGTCCCGACTGAAGATCGGAGCAAAGTCGAAAAAAGGTAAGCGCGCGTGCGCGAATCGCGCTCCTCGAGTAACGCGTACATCGAAAGCGGCGTCGAATCTAAGGAGAGATCGGCAATGGGAATGGGAACGGGAACGAGCGTCCTAGACGCGTAGCGAAGCGAAGGTTCGACGACTTTGACGACCTTGGGTGACGGGGCCGAGCAGCTACGTTTCCTGACTCGCCTCGAGTTTTCTCCTTCTGTTCGTTTACGTCGGCTTTCTCGTTCCTCGATCTCGAGAATCGGATCGAATCGAATTCTGACCGAACGGAACGGAACGGAACGGAATCTCGTTACGTAGGCACGGTACGACGATTACGTCAGTATCGGGTGAACCGCGTCGGCTTGGCTCGCCAGCTGACGTCGCGCCGGTATCGCGTATTCTCTCGCGACGTCTATTTGCAGCTCGTCTACGCAAATTCTTCTGTCGCGTACGCGCTTTTGCGTTCCAACTGGCAGACCGATCGCTGTAAACTCGCCGTAAACTTTCTTCCGTGCTCGAACGAATTCGCTCGACGACGCGTCGAGGAAACAGCGTTTCGCGCAACGACGACTCCTTTCCGAACGTAGGCTCGATAATTAGAGCGCACCTATTAATCGAAAGTGATTACGAAACGACTCGCGTGCTTGCTTCGGCGCAGCAGGGCGTATCGGCAAAGTAAAACGGCGTAGACCGGCTTCGGCCGTCGGAACGAAATTCGCTCCTTTCCCGTCTTATCTGCGCGAACCTTCGGCGATTCGCTCGGCGATTCGCGCGACGAATCGTAATCGTGCGACGAGATCGTGCAGCGTCGAGTGGAAAGGTTTCGTCGACTGACCGATCGGTCGGCGCTTCACTCGTTGGCCTTTTCTCGCGTTCAGCTCGCCGTGGAAACTTTTCGGTGATTCATTCCTTCCTCGTGACCTGAACAGCTGTTGCGTGCCTCGTTTCACCTCCTCTCGCCTCCTCGTCCCACCTTCGCCGTCGCCGCC